TATAAAATTAAGATGAGAATTTAGTTTTTTCTTCATAATGTAATTTTATGAACAGTAAATTCATACATATCTAATTGTACAGACCACATAAAACATATTGACATAATAGAGCAAGGCTAGCGTAACATATTATGTAAAATATGAGTCTAGCATCTGTATTAATTAATTAATCTAGGTCTCTACGCAGCTACATTGCCTAGGTATTAATTAATTACCTAACTCAGCAGTTCTATACAATAGTATACCGTGTTTATTCATATCAGATTCCCACAAATATTATAAATGTGGCCGTTTGTTTGTATATTTTTTGTATGTTTATTTAAGGATTAACGAATTTAGATAAAATTTGGCACACATATAGTTTAAATGTATTACCTGGATAGAGACATAATATCGTTTTTATACCGCCTCCTGTGGGATACTCAAAAAAATAAAGTTCACACAGGCGAAGTCGCGGAAGGAAGCTAGTATGACATAATGCTTTATGACTAATTAATGTCCTAATAACCTGAATATATACAACAATATTCTCAATAAAGAACTACCTAGTTTTCTATCAAACACGCCAGGATTAAACGTATAACTTTGATGATTCTTCTCACAGTTATTATTTCTCATTATCAATAGGCACTTGGCATGCGTAATAACTCGCTAAGTATTAACAACTCTGACGATACTTCTGTTACATATGTTTAACTTCTTCAAATATCCTCTTAGGTTCATATTCATAGAAAATCTTAGCGATTTTAAAACACACACTTCTTTTTATTATATATCATTTCAATCTGGTGAGCGGTGTCGAAAAAAAGCGTTTAAAAATAGAATGTCATTTGTGTGTGTTTTTTTTTTCATGTATCGCAAAAAAGGCGCGCGGCGAAACAGCCAGTTCCTCAATCACAAAGGTTTTATTTCCTGATGTCCTTATTATTTCGAACTTATAATAACATTACCACAATACTACCTGTAAAAACGGTGAGTCACACAATATTGTAATAAATTGGACGACAAGTGAATGGTGCATTCTAACAGCCTTGGAATGTTCTAGATCTGGAGTGTGCCTAAGCTTTTTAATGGCTATTAAAGCTTAAGTACATTTGCCTTGTGTCTAGTTATATAGCGACCGTGTCACAGAACTAGGTCTCAACCCGTAGTAACAGCTTCAAAGGCTAAATGGTTTTTAAATAAAAACTTCTTTCAAAAATATGATTCGGTGTTTAAAATTTTTAAGACTGGCTTATACTCGGAGCATGCCTAGTATATTTTTTTAAAGTTTTTTTAAACAAGGTACAAGGTTCCTCGTAATTACAAACAAAAAAAATAAAAGACCAGTCAGCCATTAGCGTATGCTTACGAATAATTTAGTCATTGAAGATAATAGAAACAATTTGCAAGTTGCATTACTCTACTGCTAGACAAGACATCTTCCACGAGGTTAAATAACCAAAAATATTTATCAAATTTCGATATCATTACCGCTACATTTCAGAGCAGAAAAAAAAAATACCGTTAAAATGACTGTCCGTCAATCATTTGCAAAAAAAGTTCCATCTAACATAAGCTAGATACTTATCAAGAATAATAAGATACTCTAATGCAGTTCAATCTTTAATCTAAGCCAATTACAGACTATAACATTAAAACTTGTAATGTTTTTTGGGATATGCCAATGACTCCTTCGAAGATAAAGTAAAACCTCTTTCGGTGCACAACTGGTTATAAAATTGGCCCATGATTCGTTCACCCTAAACTTTTTAGTGGTCCATGGTCGCATCGCGCCAATAAATTAAAACTTATTGTATACATATAGGTACTCCTTACTCCAACCTCTCAACTTTATAAGGAAAGGAACAAAGCTTTTTATGAGTTGGTCGTGTTCTTATTTTCTAAATTTAAAAAAGGGAATGAATGTATCTGACGTCTGAGATCGTATCGAGGTATACTTGAAAAAAAAAAGATTTTCTTATTTCTCAGTGACTTAAAAATAAACATCGCGATTTAAGTGTAGGTATTGTTATCTTTAGTCCATCAAAAACCAAGTAAAATTGATCATTAAAGAAAGTTAAAATGCCTATTTTCTATGTATTTGTCACATCAACCTACTCGGACCTATTTCAAGATGTTTGCGTGTTTTTTTATGGAAAATGCCAAAATTACAAGATGTTCGCGCGCTGTTTTTAAATTTGGAGAGTGTCAAAATAGGCAATGAATGCGTTTCTTGTTACGAAACCGCTGTCCTATCATGGATGCCATCAAGCTATTGATTGCGAATCCGTGCTGCACTAATGAGTGGCATTAATGTTGCAATATTTCCGCAGCGGCAATGAGGCAATTGTCCTGCTATACGAACGGATGTCTTCGAACACGAATTTAGCCGCCATTTTTATTTTAGGTGATTACGAAAACTCCTTTCTCTAAAACTCTACAAATATTTTTTTCTTACACTAAACCTTATCACAAGCAAAAAGTAAAATCCACGAACGGTTAAAGTTAAAAATAAAAAATGACAGCTATGAATCATACCACAATGATATCACAGTCAAATTGTGACTGCCTTGTATTGTCAATAAATAAATAAAGTTTCGTGCATTAACCCGTGAAAAAGTAGTTTCATTTAATGAGTGATGTGCGTGAAAACCTAAGTAACAAATATATATAAAGTTCTTCAATACAATTTCCATAAGAATGCATCAAATTTAAAAAATGAGGTTAAGATGTCGCCAAATACTTGACAGAAACATAAAAACTTTTCTTTTTCTAATGTCAAATTAAAAAAACATTAATTCGGATTCGTATTGATCTCTGATCACAGAATTGACTTTCTGCTAATCTTTTGAGAATATCTGCTAAGTAGAGACCGCCTGCAAAACTAAGTATGCAATTACTCTACTAACTACAAAAAAAACTTGGTCATAACACTAATGCTTAATACAATCGTGTTTCTTTATGCATAGCAACAAGAAAAATAAAATAAGTTACTCCTGTTGGCTGTTCAGATCCCGATGGTAAACATGAAAATTTTTTGAAAGAAGAAAAAAAACGCGACATTATATTGAACAAAAAACTCACTAAAGATTAAGCACAGCCAAATGAATGAATGATTCATTCATTCGGTTGTATTCAATATTTATGAAAATTGAAAGTTTAAAGAAAATATCAAATAATCATTTTAAATCACGTGAAAGTTGAAATTTGAAAGTTCAACAGAATAAAGAACTTCGTGCCAAATGACTCTTCAATCATCAATTCGATGATTAATACAGAAATAATATTATATACCTTAATATTTTTTTTGCATAGAAATTTTGCGACTGCCCCATAACGAAATCCTCTGTTTATACGACACACAGGATTGGGAAACACTAAATTGCTTGGCCTCACAATTGGGAAGCTTACTTAAAGAGAAGATTTTTCGATAACTCAAGTCCCGTACTTGTACATTTTTTTAAACTTTCATGGTCTCTAACAATATAGTAATTTATGTTATTTACGTGATTGTTACCATGTACCTTGTTTTTAGCGAGTTTCCAAAAACAAGTTACAATCGCGTAAATACTATAAATTACTATCCCGTATTTATATTAAGTACTTTTAGTAACAACTTAAATACTCCCAGAATTTTATCTGAGTAAGGAAGCACAGACAAAACTTTTTAATCAAATCAATGTCAGCACCGATAATTGCACGGCTGTACTCACAGACAGCAATCAAATTGTCAAAATGACGTGTCTTAATCTATTCATTTCACAAAGAACATCATTAGCAACAAGTGACATCTATAGCTTTAATCTAACTTAATAAATAATACCAATATGTCTCGGAATTCTATACTTTAACTTTGAATAATTAAAAATGATGACTTTGACTTTCTCATGCTTATCATACCAAGATGCTCTGCTAACCCGCAAAAATTAAATTAAAATCTCCTGAAATTATAGTAACATTTCATAATCGTTTCTAATTATAATAATTTATGAATGTAAATTGAAACATCGATTATGGACACGTTTCAATCATAATAAATTAGCAATAATGATTCCCTCTAATAAATAAATGAAGTAACACATTAAATAATAGTTTAAATACATAAGTTATACCTAGAAACAAAATAAATCACAATAAAGTAATTAGGAACAATATTGCCAAACTTCAAGTCACCGAGTTGACTGTGTAAGTTTTTGCGTTGCGTTTGTTAATTAGATAATTTAATGGTAGATGCTTACTTTCAAACAATTACGTAAGGCTTAATTATTAATTAAATAATTAAGTTTTTGCCAATACTAACAAGGAACCATGATTTGTAGGTTCTTTGACTTGGCTGCATCGTGAATGTATAGAATTCACCCAAACCTTTAATTTATTAAGAAAGAAAAGTTCTTTTTTTTTTTCAAACGTAAGGAACCTTTTTAGTTAAATCCTATTCACGAAATTTACATCTTTACTTTCATTTAGATTATACAATTTCTGTAATTTATAATACCAATGTTATCCATCGTTACGTAAAAAGTGCGTTTATTAGCAAAAAACTCGTTTTTGTGTTGACTCATGTTTTCTTTTTTTAAACTAACTAATGAAACGGAAAACACGCAACTCGCAAAAAAAGGTTAATGCACTAAACAGAAAGTACATACCATTTATGTATACGAACAATTTACGATGCATATTTTTGTACCGGTCACGAAACATAAAACTAAAGACAAGAACCATTTCTTTTTTTTTCTAGTTCTATTTTTTGTTGTTTTAAAACTGCCAAAATCGTAAGATCATAGATCGACCTCTAAAACGAAGGCATACGTTCTTTATTCGAAAAGTGAAGTTATCCTCAATTGTTTATTTTTAATAAATCACTCGTTATAATAATTAGGCAAACCACTTTAAAAAGGTTTTGCTTATTGTTATTTTGTAATTCGTATATTGGTCTTTAGTAGTACACGTCACTTTTAAAGTTTTCACACAACTTTCAGGTGCACTTTTCATACCATTTGCGACATACATTCACTGACCTCTTAAAACGTCAGCCGGGATCAGCCTTCTGAAGGTCTTCGGCCTCTCTTCGTCTTTCGCCTCCTCAGCAGCAAAAACCACAGCGATAACAGCGAGGACCACCAAGTACTTCATTGTGCTAAGTGCCGAAGCCGCGACCCGTTAGATTAAAAAAAAATTAAACGTCAAAATTGGCGCGTTTTTCTGACAGTTCACGTGCGACCGCGCGGCACGACTGAGTTGCGGCTTTAGTTCTCGCTTGGATTTATGCTCCAAACCAGGGAGGGGAGTGAGTGGTGATTATTATGGCTGTATGATATCGAAGAGAGGGGGGGTCATTCTTTTTTTTAAAGTAAGCTGCCCGGAGTCTCAGGGTTGGCGTTGCAAAATTCGATCGTTCTTTTTTTAAATTGTATAATTGGCGCGCTCATCGCGAAGGATTTCGGGTTTCGCGTATGTTAATACCTTCGTGTCGTCGTGTCTTTGTTGTATAAAAAGCTTTATATGGAGACATTGTTAACAGTTCCATTTTTAAGTTTGGTGGCCCCAAATCACGGACATAATGGGTTGAGCGTTCCCAAACTCTAACTATAAAGTAAATACCAATATAAAAGTGTGATACAGACGAAACGATCGTGAAGTTCGTATTATCTTTAGGCCGCAATATCGCTTTCTCTCTTTCTAGGAAGTGTTTAAGATGAGATTGAACCGTTACCCACCAACGGGCCCAGTGCGGATGGGTGGGCGCTAACGACTGCTGATGCAGCCGGGACCAACTGCATAACGTGCCTTCCGAAGCACAGAGGATATACTTATTCATAATAATATTGCGAAAGCTGTCTGTCGCTAAACCGATTTAGATAAAATTGGTATGCTTAGATAAAGTTTGAGCTCCAAAAAAGGATAAAGGATAGCTTTTATTATAGAAATCATTTTTAAGAGGGTGATACAGGGGAGTGGAAATCAGAATGTAATTCAGAAATCAGAAGTCAATATATCTTTATTCTAATTGGATAGTATAACATAGTACAACTCTGTTGAATCGTCCAAAAATGTTTTTCCCCTCCGCTCGTTATTGGACCTATTATTTAGCTGCGGAGAAAATCGAGCGAAAGAAATTTCTTTAATTTAATACTTCATTAATACACGTGTTGTACAATTCTATTGTTTTATAAAATTTTAATTTAATGCTTCATTAACACACGTGTTGTATAATTCTATTGTTAAAACAGCAGCTTAAATAAGCCTATTAATCAAACTTAAAACTTATTATGAGTACAGATTTTAAATTTTTAAGATTTTTAGCGCTATATACTCTAGCGCATTTATCGCTTGAATCAAATCATTCCAACAGGTTTTCTATACGAATTAAATCATTATTGTATTGACGTTGTAACAACATAATGATATGTAAATGTTACATTATTCTTTTAATACTGTGGAACCACATTTACATTTACAAATCATTATGTTGTTACAATGTCAATACAATCAGTATTTAATTCATATAGAAAACCTGTTGGAATGATTTGTTTCAAGCGATAAATGCGCCAGAGTATACAGTGCTAAAAATCTTAAAGACCAAAAATCTGTACTCAAAAAATCTTTTAAGTTTTAAGTTTGACTTATACTTACTTAAGCTGCTGCTATAACAATAGGATGATTCAACACGTGTCTTAATGAAGCATTAAATTAATTTGACGTTTATGAGTAAGCCGTAACCCACCGCGCTGGCGTATTGGTATGGCTAACTACTGCAGATGCAGCCGGAACCAACGGCTTAGGTTCACATTACACTGATGCACTGCGAGTGTTTTCAAGGTGGAGCTGATGCGTATCGAATACGTTGCGGTCGCGCAACGTTTTTGCCGTGAACAGCACCGTGGACGACATTTTGTACAGCCACATACGCCTTTACAAGCCTTTCTTCAAATGACATACATAACAGACGATAGACCTAAATTTTAAATGTTATCTAAGAATCAGGTGAAGCAAATCATACTATATAGGTGTTGCTATTGAAATGAAATGAAAAATCTACGTTGCGTGTACGCGGCATATGATACAAGTCGAACGCTATACGAAGACTGCGCACCCTCAGTGAGTTCACTGCGTACCCGCTCTGCTTGGAACACAGAACTCAGATAACAGAAAGAGGTTAGAAGGGTCTTCCGAGCGGGGCAAGCGTACCACAGTTACTTGTGAGCAAATGCTCATAACTTGACCAAAACTTGGTTTTGATTGCGTCGTTGCTCTCTGGTGTGAGCGCTGTACGGGTCGATAGTTTGATATCGCGTCGTTTGATTGGCTATTATCTATTAGGTGAAAGTATATGTATGTGTGTGGTTCCCGTACAAAGAGTCCATGAGCATACTTCCAACCTCTTTCCGCGTTCTGTGGTCTGAAATACGCTGCAATCCGTCAGTGTGATAAGGCCCTTAACGTGCCGTCCAAGTGTACTTGGACAACAATACGTATTTTTTTTCCTCGACCGACCATTGCAGAAGTGGCTTGACTTCGACAATCACTTTTAGTTTCTCCAGAAATAATAATTAATATTAACAATGCTATCTTTGCGTGTCAATTACTTAGGTATACTAGATTGACAAATAAAATTGGATAGAGAGATGGTATCGTCTTTTTATAAATGTCAAAACTATTAATTCTTTTGTGCAATCAAATAAGAAAGACAGGATCGCAACAAAGGCTTTTCGAAAGGTGTACAGCCTTGATTTAAATCTAGACATATAATATACTATTTTAGCAGGTATTGTTCTCACACTGAGCTTAGACAAAATCTAGGCATACATTCTCAGAAACTTGCTTTAAATAGAGGTCAAAAAGATACTTAGTGCTTAAATTATTTTTATACACCATCGCGTCTGAAGCACGTATTATATCAAGTATTTGCTATTTAAAGTGAGCTATTAAAGCTAAAGTGAGCTGGAGTTGTGGGAAAGTTCCCTGGGTAATAATCATCACTTTTTAATTTGAAAAGCCAAAATGCCAAAAAAATTATCAAAAATAGTTTCTAATAAAAATAAGGATATTCAAGGCATAACCTCCTTTTTTATATTGTTTGTTTTTATATAAAACTATGTGGCCCGCCCTCGCTTCGCTTCGGTGTAGAGCTGTAGTGTAGATTTAAATGACTCTTCATAATTAATATAAGTAATTATAAAAGAAACTGAAAATGGTATATTTGCCTTTTCCAAACTTCTATTGACATCACGTCGCTCAACTGTTTTGCCTTCCCAGAATCTCTCCACTAACATTTGAAATTTTTGGTATGGTATTAAAGTTCAAATTGACTTTTAAGTATTATTACGAATCGTTTGTATGGGAGTATAGAAAAGTGTTGCTTTTGGACATTTTCAGGCATTTATTTTATTTTTTCTCTATGTAAGAACCATTCTCGTACTTCAAGGAATGTTCCAAAAAAAGAATTATCGAAATCGGTTCAGCTGTTCTCGAGATTTGCGCTTAGCAATACATTCAGCGATTCATTTTTATATTATAGATTTGACACATCAAAGAGACTTTACTTCGATGAAAAATATATAACAAAAACTTGTATACTACACTATATAGTAACATAACTATACAATTCGTCGCATAAATAGCGTGTGTTCGAACGATTTGCTAAATGGATCGCACTTAATGGATCAACAACCGAGTTCTCTTACATTAATTAAGTGTACAATGTTACATAAGTTACGTGCGGTATGCAACGCGGATATCTGAAAATGAAAACTATTAAAAAAATATTAAATAATCGACGAGTTGGTATTACGACCACTAAACCTAACTAATTAAAAAAAAAAGATATTTTCAATAACTATGACCTGCTCAATAAGTTTAGCATTGACTTCTTAACAGATGAAAAAAACGGAGGAGGTTTTCGAGTCATATAGACATACTAGCGGCCCGCCTTCGCTTCGCTTCGGTGTAGAGCTGAAGTGTAGACTACAGTTTTTGTTCTCAGGCTTGTATTATACACAATGACATTCATCTATAATTCTTCTTATACCTGCATGCAAAGTCTCAGCCCGATCGGTTTAAAATTGACAAAGTTTCATACAAACTTTCATTCTCTATTTTATCCCCTTGGGGGTAGAATTGATCAAAATCCTTTCTTAGCGGATGCCTACGTCATAACATCTACCTGCATGCCAAATTTCAGCTCGATCCGTCCAGTGGTTTGGGCTGTGCGTTGATAGATCACTATGTCAGTCAGTCAGTCACCTTTGAGTTTTATATATATATAGATAATAGTGATGTAACGAATGTAATTTTTTGAACATTCGCGAATGCGGATGCGAATATAATAATAATAATGTCAGCTTGTTTTAAAGTAGTCGATGTGTGCGTGTGTAGCGACGAGCGTATCTACCATATGTAGTAGATATTTTTTGGGCGATTCCGTGCAGTTAATACGAAAACTACTGAGACCACTATTCCTACACGAACAAAGAAATTTGGTGACTCATTTCTTTGTCGTACTATTCGTAAGTAGAATTCCTTCCTACAATCTGGGGTCCTTTAAGAGAGGTGTGAAGAGGCATTTTTGCAGGCCGGCAAGGTGAGGATGGTTGGTGTGGCAGTTTATAACTGCTGTACCAGCTATCTTCGCGTTTGGACTTTATCACCACTTAACATCAGGTGGGGTAGAGTCATTTGCCTACCTGGCTATAAAAATAATAATAAAACTAGGCTTGTATATAAATCAAAAAGGCATTTTTGAGGATTTCATACTGGCTCCCACACCTGGGAGGAAACTATATCAATAAGTTTGATTCTCTATAATATCAACAGTGACGCCACAGCCACAAACGCAGCCGCGAGAAGCTAGAAGCGGCTACTAAAGTGGCTGAAGCGCGCGACAGCGGCCGATTAAGGTAGAGAGGCGTGGGGAATCGCGCGAGTGACGTGTGGCGGCGTTTTGTATCAGCGCATTAAGTGGCCGGTGCGGGCCACAAGAAGCGAGCAACGACGATTTGTAGCGTGTGGCGGCCACCGGCGTACAGTGTGTGGCGAGTCCATATAAAATGTATGAAAACTACAAGAAATATGCCGGTGGCGGCGTTTTGTGGTTGTGGTCGGTGGCCCGTGTGCGGCGGCACTAACTCTACAGA